CGAAATATACCTTTAATCGAGCTCGAGCTTCAAAATACTCGAAAAATACTCGGACGAAGTGAGATTTGAATGAACTTTTTCCCGAGCTCGAGCTTCAAAATTTTCTCTCTCGATATGATTTCTTCATTTTCTGCTATGTATTCTCTCCCGAAATCGCTATGAAAATCGCCCTCTTTTATTTTCTCTCTTTTATTTCCAAAATTCGCGACCTGATTTCGGGAAGAATCAGTTAAAATTTCAAGCGATTTTCCTTCCATTTTATTGTATCGGAATTTTGGTTTTGAAGTTTAATGGGGCAATAAATCTGTGTTTAAAAGTTTTATCTCGTAAAACTGACATAGCTGTGAAATTAGCACGTGGACATGTACTTTGGCCTAGAATTTCTGGTTGTTAATAGGCCACGGGTGGGAGTAGTTGGGCCACATTACATTCTATTTAGCCCATCAAGATATGATTTTTACAGGCCCAAATACGTCGGTATCCATCCAGCTCAAAATAAGCTTCACCGACACTATATGATTAACTATGCCTCGACCGCGTGACGCTCATTATTTCATTTCATTCAAGAATCACTTGATCTTGGATTTTTATATAGTGATCTAAAGCCGAGTTTCATTATATAGTTTCTTCATCAATCTACGTCGTGAATCTTGTACGAATCTAGGTTCCATCTCATGTAGTGTTCATTCCCGATTACATACATTTCTTTAAAGATCCTACAGATCTGCGCGGATCGACATTTCGAGTCAGTAAGCATCTCTCTGCCCTTTGCTTTGATTTACGAAGTTCTTATTTTTCTTGAAATTGATCGTTTTTCGGTTCGTTCGACGCAAAGTTTGTGCCTTTATGTGCCCTTTTTACAATTTTGATACGTGGGTATTAGTCTGTGCTGCTGTTTAATGCATGATGTGATGAATGTGGGGGCGTTTGAGATGTTTGGTTTTCAAGATCTGCATTCATGGAGCTGAGCTCAAGTTAATCGATGAGAAAAATTAAATTGCTAACTTGAGAAGGTGAGCTTTATATATGGATTTGAGTGATGTGTGAACATATGTTGGTTTCCGAAAGAAATTAATGGCTTTTTGAGAAGGAACTCAGTGCTTCGTTTTAAGCTCTTTGTAGTAAGTCTGATCCAATAAATTACCTTCAGTTAGTAATAACATTTACTGCTTCGATTATAATAGCGATTGTATTGGAAATCTATTCAGAGCTATTGCAATTATAGTTTCTGAAGAATCGGGCATTTATGTGAAATAAATTGCCTGTTTGATTGGCAAGTGTAGAACCAACTTATCATTAGTTGTAATGTGGGAAAAGAAGTATGAAGGCCTAATGTGGGAACAACTTTTCTGATCAATAGAAATTGCCCATGGTTCTTCTAGGTTGCTTTTCAAATAAAAGATTTTCGAATCCGAAGCTAGTTGCTTCTGAACTATGTTAACTTTAATGCATGATGTGATGAATGTGGGGACGTTTGAGATGTTTGGTTTTCAAGATCTGCTTTCATGGAGCTGAGCACAAGTTAATCGATGAGAAAAAATTAAATTGTTAACTTAAGAAGCTGAGCTTTCTATATGGCTTTGAGTGATGTGTGAACATATGTTGGTTTCCGAAAGAAATTAATGGCTTTTTGAGAAGGAACTCAGTGCTTCATTTTAAGCTCCGTGTAGTAAGTCTGATCCAATAAATTACCTTCAGTTAGTAATAACATTTACTGCTTCGATTATAATAGCGATTGTATTGGAAATTTATTCAGAGCTATTGCAATTATAGTTTCTGAAGAATCGGGCATTTATGTGAAATAAATTGCCTGTTTGATTGGCAAGTGTAGAACCAACTTATCATTAGTTGTAATGTGGGAAAAGAAGTATGAAGGCCTAATGTGGGAACAACTTTTCTGATCAATAGAAATTGCCCATGGTTCTTCTAGGTTGCTTTTCAAATAAAAGATTTTCGAATCCGAAGCTAGTTGCTTCTGAACTATGTTAACTTTATCTTAAACATCTCAAAATATATTTACTTTCAGAAGAATTTAGAGCTATGTCTGCATCCTTCATTTTATGGACATTGTTTTTGGTTCCAATTTATATTGTACGGATTTCTTTCTGTGGCTGAATCTGCCAAATCAGGATTGATTGAGCCATTTAGGAAATAGTAGCTTGAGCCAGCGTTCCTGGACGTACACGTGTTGTGTTGCAAACTTGTTTATATGGCTTATCTATTGACCCTACTTTTATCTATTTCTGTTATCCAGCATATACAGTAGATCTATTGAATGACATTTTAAATCAAGCTATTTTTCCTTTCTGTGAATAATGGAATACTAGGGTAGCCATATTTTCTTGTGGTGCATTTTGTGGCTTCCGTTTTTGTAGTTTCTTTATCAAATATGATCTGCTTTAGGAGTTCTACCCTTATGTTTTGTCCTTTGTCTCTGCTTTATTTAACTGTCCATTTTTTACCCAAACTGCAGCCTGTATAACTTTATCCACAAGGTTCAATCTTTGAGGTAGTAGGAAAGCTGAGGGTTTGCTCGAGAATTATCGAATTCGGATAAATGTCGAGGGGGCGCTCGGATGGAGCACAAAAGAAGCGGTTGTTGACTTCTCTGTGTGTTGTAGCTGTATTTATCATTTTTCTGTATGTCTACTTTGGCTCTAAAAATACTGGAGAGTCTGCTTTAGAGTATGGCAGCCGGTCTTTGAGAAAACTTGGGTCTTCTTACTTGGGTGGCGATGAAGATTCCGACAAGCAAGATGAATCTTCAGTCAAGTTTGGACTTGATGACAATGGGGATGGTTTCACCCCGAGGAGCTTCCCTGTAAGTGTTCCCACTCATTTTTATCCATTTGTTCTGTTTTTTTAGAAATTTTAGCGTTGCATGAATTATTATTACAGGATTCTTTAGGTTTCCTACAGATATATGTAAACTTGTCAACGTTTTACATTTTATTTTTGTGTAATTAAGGTCTGTGATGATCGCCATTCAGAGTTAATTCCCTGCCTGGACAGACATCTAATCTATCAAATGAGATTGAAGTTGGATTTGTCCCTTATGGAGCACTATGAAAGACACTGCCCGCCACCTGAAAGGCGATTCAATTGTTTGATTCCTCCTCCTCCAGGATACAAGGTAAAAGGTCCCCAGATTTCAATTTGATGGACATTTTATATCATTCTTTTGTTGCTTTAATTAGTTTTTGGTTTATTCTTTTTCTGGAATTACAGATTCCGATCAAGTGGCCGAAGAGCAGAGATGAAGTCTGGAAAGCAAACATTCCTCACACTCACCTGGCGCACGAGAAATCTGACCAGAATTGGATGGTTGTCAGAGGAGAAAAGATCCATTTTCCTGGAGGAGGCACTCATTTTCACTACGGAGCAGATAAATACATAGCCTCCATTGCAAATGTAAGTAATTTGCATAACTAACTTGGTTGAGTAGATAAATTTTCTCCTTTTGCAAGTGAGATAACATTTTTAATTTGCATTTAATGAATTATTTTGCATAAGTTTTGGCTATTGCATGCGTTGGTTGAGAAAAAATCCGCTTGTTAGCTGTTTTATTGGAACAACCCACATGCTAAATGATGTGTAAGGAAGAAGTTAAAGCTTTGTGTCTGATTATTGTGGGTGCCAGTTAAACCTAATTTAATTTGGGCCCTATTGCAATTAGAAAAAATGACTTAAAAATTATACTACAAGACATTACAGCGTTTTAGAAATGTTCAACCGCAGTCCTCCTGTATCAAGAAGTTGAACACTAGAGCTAATCGAGTGACAATGGGTCTTTTTATTTACAAGGCCATATCAAGATTTTTTATTTTTTATTTTTTCGAGTTCAAACTTTTCCAAAAAAATCCAATCATTTTAACCATTCACTTTTTTTTTAACTCAAATCTAACTCAACCCACTATCATCAATATTTATCAATATAATTAAACAATACCACTCAATCATTCTTACACATTACATCAACTTTAATTCACGATTCATCCACTCACTTACTTTTAACTAACCATCACTTCACATCATCTATCTACTACTTTCACATCAAATCAACTTTAATTATTTTATTTAAACATCATTTAATATAAACTCAAAAAATACGTTTAACAACTTACCATACCTTTTTTTTTTCAAAATTAACCATACCAATACCAAAAAAATCCAAACAAAATTATAACATCTTATATCCATTCACTGTGAAGTCCTTACAGTTAAAACTTCCTTTCGGCAGATGCTCAACTTTTCGAACAATAACTTGAACAACGAGGGCAGGCTGCGCACGGTTTTCGATGTTGGGTGTGGTGTCGCCAGCTTTGGCGGCTATCTTCTCTCGTCCGACATAATTGCAATGTCTCTAGCACCAAACGATGTTCACCAGAACCAGATTCAGTTCGCATTAGAGAGAGGAATCCCTGCCTACCTTGGTGTTCTAGGTACCAAACGGCTGCCTTATCCCAGCCGGTCCTTCGAACTTGCCCACTGTTCGCGTTGTAGGATTGATTGGCTCCAGAGGGATGGGATTCTCCTTCTTGAGCTCGACAGGCTTCTTAGGCCCGGGGGTTATTTTGCATACTCATCTCCAGAAGCATATGCACAGGATGAGGAGGATCTGAGAATATGGAAAGAGATGAGTGCGCTCGTCGAGCGCATGTGCTGGAGGATTGCGTCTAAGAGAAATCAGACCGTGATTTGGCAAAAACCTCTGACTAATGATTGTTATTTGGCGAGGGAGCCCGGGACTCGGCCGCCTCTTTGCCGATCGGACGACGATCCAGATGCGGCTTGGGGGGTGAATATGGAAGCGTGCATCACGCCTTATTCGGATCGTAAGCCTTATTTATTTTGCTATATGACAGTTCTCGTACATTAATCTTAAAATGCTAAAAAGAGTTAAACAATTCCAACAACAACAACAACAAAATTCCAAACGAATGAAAAATAAATAATGAGCCATGAAATTGTGTAAAAAAAATAGAAAAAAAAAAGAAGAAGAAAACTAAACTAAACTAAACTGAAAACCAAGATATTTGGCTTTTTCTAGTGGAATATGGTTGGGCGCATTGTGCATTAGTTGCTTGAAAGTTATGGATGGCATCTTAAATTGAGTAATAAGTGAGTGTGTGATTTTGAGGCTATGAAGTAGTTTTGAAGAGTGTTAAGAAAAAAAATATGTTGGGTGGACCGAGCATTGTCTGTCATTCATTGCTAATGATTACGATGTTAT